TAAACAAAACCAGGCCAATATGTCTGTATGTGCACTTTCAATGGAATGTGGGTCTTTGCTGTTGAAGATGATGACCCAGAAACAAAATAAGTTTAATTTGTTCTATTTACCTTTCTAGTAAAGCTCTTCGCTCGTCTTGGTTATTCTGTATTGTAGCTTCTTGCACTGGAATAAACCAATGGCATTATTAGAATTGGGTACTTAATGATCATATATGATTAATACATTTTTTAAAGCAATTCATTCATTCTTAATTTTTTGTTTTCGGAAAAGATTACCATACAGCAAAATAAATATATAAAATAATATAAATAAATAAATAATAAATAATATAAATAAATAAATATATAAATACATTGCATTTAAATGATGTATCACGGGATAGGATCATTCATGTCCTAATGCTGCAGTATTTCTCCAACCCCTACCCAAAAAAAAAAAAAAAAAAAAAAAAGAAGAAAACCAACCTGATCTGATCAAAATTTTACAAGGCTCAATAGTAATCTAATTTAACAAGGCTTAATAGTAGTATACCGGTAAGTAGATATGTTTATTCAATTTTTTATGCAACAAACATAAGTGTAGGGTATATAGTGAATTTCTGCTATTGAAGATCCAATTCTTTAAGCTGTGTATAGATGATTTAATAAATTAAAAAAATAATATTATTATGTAGTCTTAAAAATCACTTTATGCAAACAAGGTGGCAGATGAATTTTCTATGGCTCAGCGAACACACAGTGGCTACCACCAATTTAGCTGACTGAGCAAAACTAGATCTAGAAGGTGAACACGAAAGTCTAGCTATCACGATATAACAAAGCTCAATAGTAATTAATATAATTAGATAAGTAATACAAATGCAGTAATGCATCTAATAAAGTAAATGTAACTTATAAACAACATGTTTCGACATGTCCCACATCATCATCAGGTAATAACGCTTATGCTACTAACGGGTTAAATACTACCGGTCAGATGTAAGACGAAACAAGCAAATATTAAGGTAATTCATGTATATAGAGGTCAGGAATGCTATAGTAAGTCATGTATATAGGAATTAGAATGAATTAGAATGAGAGAGTGATATTGTAATGAGTTGCTTGTTTGTTAAGTGACGGATTTCCCCAAGCAATGTAAATGGCTTCTTTTATTTTAAGTTGAGAAGTGGTGGACGGAGTCAAGAATAGTAAAACAGTCTGAATTAGATGTGTTTTGACATTTAACAGAGTTTTGAAGATGTTGAAATATGTGTGATGACTAAATGTTCCTTAATCCGTGTTTCTAAGTGTCTATTGATCTCGCAATATACACAGAGTTGCACCCCGCGCAAGTAAATTTGTAGACAACACAGACTTGGAGATTAGTTGGGACATAGTCTTTTACGTTAAAAAAATTTGATAATTTATATGACTTGAAAGCAAGTCTGACATTATGTTAGAGCAATAATTTTTTACCATAACGTTAATTTTTCATTGACAATAGTTAGATAATGGTGTATAGGGTAACTTGAAATAAGAAAGTTGTGTTTGCGTTTTAGGAGGATCCAAAGTGGTGGACGATAGTTTTCTATTCAGGTAGTTATGTATGGTTTTATTAATAATAATATCGGGTAACAATTTCTTTGAAAAGCGAGTCCAAATTTTCTTAAATCGTTATAAAATCCCAACCATGTGTTGTTAATTTTGAATGTACGGTCTATTAGAGTGCGTAGAAGTCTGAGTTTATATGTATGTGATGTAGAGCTATGGAAATTTGTTAACAAACCTGTATACGTTTTCTTATGATTTCTTATGATAGACAGGTTATTAATGAGTTATGAACAGAGAAATTAGATAAGTCCATTCAATTTTTTTTATACAACAAAGATGTGTGTAGGTTATATACACGATTCATTAGTGAATTTCTGCTATTGAAGTTCCTATTTTAAAACTGCATATAGATTATCTAATAAAAATAAATAAATAAATTATATGTTAGGTCTGATAAAGCACTTTAGGAAACCAAGGTGGCAGATGGAATTGAAGTGGGGTCTAAAGGATCTCCACGGTTTAGCGCACACACAGTGACTATATCCACCAGCTAAGTTGGATCTAGAAGGTGTGCATGTAAGTCAAGCTATCTTACCTGCCATCTCGCCTCGAAGATCATCGTTACTCTTTTCAAGTTCCTTGATGTTGATCTCGGCCTGCATGAGGTCACGTCGCAAAGTTCCCAGGTTCTCATTCAAGGCACTCATCTGCATTTCAAGTCGCTGCTGTACCTGCTCTTTTGCCTCCTGCAACTCTGTCTTAGCTTTCGATTCTGCTGCCTTAAAGGACAATATACCAGATATTATTCTCCTGAAGACGATTAGAGCAACTCAATCGGAACGTTGAGATATTCTCAACCTACAACAACAGTTCTTTTCAGAACTACGTGGTGTACCGCAAGCATTAATAAATAACAATATACCACTCAAGATTTATTATAAATAATTAAAAAAAATCAATCAGTATCGGTAACAAAAAATTATTGGAAAATTGTATGTACTGATGTATGAATAAAGAGTACACAGGAAGTAAAAACTTTTTAATTAAAAAAAAAAATTAAAAATATAAAACAGCATCAATTGCAAATAATAACTACCGTACATATTAACAAATATTACCATGGATATTATACATAATCAGCAAGGTTTCTTTGGTTTTTAAGGTTTGGATTGGGTAATTTAGAGAGCTATCGATTGCATGACACGGTAGGGCGTAGAACTTAATGACGCCACTAAAATTCTTCTGTGCATGTAAGAACATTAAGTTCTCCTCGTCGCATGGATTCTAGGACGCAATTTGGCCAAATCTACACGCAGAGAACGAAGGACGCCCAGTTGGACGGTCATGACAAGTGATTCCATTCTAGCGGCACATTGTTAAAACAAATTATAAGCGTTCATTAGTTTGTGTGCAACACCTTTTGCATATTTACAGTATGTACACTACACAGTCAGTGGCAGATCTAGGAGTATGAAAAGGAGGGGATATGGGGATGTGAGAAGTGAAGTGGGATTGATGATTAAGTAAAATACTAGGTTGCAAAATAAGGTGATATATACTATATAGCGTAATTTTTTGGCTTCAAGAATTTCAA